TTCCGATTTAATAAATATAACTCTTTGAATTGGGTATCTAGCACAAACACTGATATTGGTCCAGGTAATTTGAATAAAACTTTTTTTGAAAGAGTATTACACTTTGGAGTGATTAACGACCAAGTATCAATGTATCTATTAGGTACCATGATAGTGCTTATATGGTATTCTTCCATTTTTCCATAAAAAGAGGATAGAACTCATAAAAATTTACTTTATTCAGCACAAACATTGTTTTTTAAAAGTGCTGTATTCTTACAGTACTTTTAAAATTTTTTAAAAGTCCTGTAAGAATGTATAAATTCTTACTTTTTTTTTAAGTAAGTTCAATGCATAACTAAAATGTGCTGCAAAATCCTAATTTCTTTAGTAGGTAGGTCATGTAATTTATTTTCTAAAAAAGCAGAAGTACATAACGTTATGTGAAAAGAGCCATTAGATCATGTTTCACAATTTGTGAATTATGACCTTATAGAATCCAATAGAAACCTTTTCATTATCTTAACTGAGACAAGAAGTTCAGCCCACATGCAAAATCTCCGTGTAAATCATATAATTTTAACCTTTGGGTCACAGAAATAGTCTCAGTCCCTGAGAGGGAATAAGAGCAGTACGGTATAAACAGCATGCATACGCATTCTTAGTTATTTCTTCAAAACTTACAGCTGCTGTCCGGTCCACCTCACAGCGGCTACTCAGAATGAAACAAGCTTCAGCATCATCCATTCTAGAAGAGGGGAGACAAACCTGTTACATACCAACAAAATACTTCTGTGGACTTGTGTTTCACAGTTTATAGTCTTGTATGCTTATAGAAACATAACAAAGAGCAAGTTTAGTCTATCTGTTCTCATGCATTCTCCGAATGTCAGCAGCAGTCACCTGGTGCACTAACTCACGGTGTACCGGTACTTCTTGACTAGGTTCTGAGAAACCTTCTTTCCCTGGTGCCAGTAGAAGCTGTGCCAAAGTAATAAAAGCAGAGTGGCCTGAAATGCACCTAATTTGCAAAATAAACATTTACCTGCTATGAATATAAAAGGTGAATAAATAGCACCAGCCTACATAGTGCATAAGGGTATGGTATGTACAAGTTATTATTGATAAGAATGAATAAGAGGGGGCAGATAACAACATAGACTTGCTTAGTGATGGCAGAAAGATGGGTAGATGTACTAGAATAACACATTTGGGAAAAATAACAGACATTTTTGTGTATGTGTGCATTAAATGAATTAACTATTTTCAGTCCATGGTCTCTTTGAGAACTTTTAATGCGTAATTGTTCTCTAGTGGGTACAGCTGGTCATGTTATAAAAGAGTGGTGGTGGAAATGCAGAGAAAAGCTGCCTACAGGTTTCGTCACAGTTTGCTTTTCCTCTCTTGCCTCAGATCTTGATATCCTTCTCCAGTGAACCCTACTTCACTTACTGGTACATGGATGTAAAGAAATAGGGACTTGGTTGACCTCCTTGGGAATACAGGACTTTCTGGGCAAAGTGAAACAGGATGATCAGAATGGCTTTCCTGGGAAGGGGAAAAGTGAGACACAAGCTGGGGAAAATGAACAGGCAATTCACTGCTCATTACAACAGCTCCATTCTGGAGTCAGGAATAGGACCTGACATTTTTAAATCTTTGGTTTCTCTGCCGCAAGAAAATGGCATTGGTGGTTGTTAGTAGTAGTTTAGGCCATCGGGACCCTAGGCTTAGACTGAGGGCCCATTCTTTTAGGTACTGTACAAATGCAAAACAAAAAGATAGTCCTTGCCATATACAGCCCTTGCCATATAAGCTCTACATGACATGGACACGACACAGGACAGCAAAAGTATATGCAAACATGGGAAACAGGAAGAAACAGTGTGACGATACCTGAATATAAAAATTATCATGGTAGAAAAGTGGTCTCACTAGATATCAGAGCAGAGAATCAACTGAAGAAAGGATTCAATGGAGAATACTGGGATTACTTTACAGACGGTTCTGAGAAATTCATCCTAGATTGAAGGGACAGCATGGGTGAAATCACAATGGGATCTGTATGTTAACCTGTTGAATGTGTGAAAGAGAATATTTCACATCAGAAGATTACCTCAGGAAGAACTGGGAGTTGCAGGCTAAGAGAGAATAAAGGGTCACTCCTTGACGCAATAAAGAAGGGTAAGCCAGAGAAGGACTGCAATGGGGCAAAGTGATGTACTACATAAATATTTCCAGAGTGTTCTGAAACAAGGGTTCAGGGAGTTGAGATGATATAGGTCAAGAACAGAAATATAGTTTTAAGGGGGGCAAAAATGACAGCTTGTGTGAGAAAACACTTGCAAGATGCAGGCTCAGTCTACATAGGATGCTCTACGATATGACTCTAAGGATACTGGTTTTATTTTGGTAGCAAAAATGAAGGTCTGTTTACAACTACCTCCAACTAAACTGAAGTTGATGAATAGATATCCATTATGAAATGCAAGATGGTTTGTCCAACCTTTAGTTTTTGATATAGAAATAGAATCATAGAATCATTAGGTTGGAATAGACCTCTAAGATCGTAAAGTCCAACCATTGACCTAATACCACCATGCCCATTAAACCATGTCCACAAGTGCCACATCAACACATTTTCTGAACACCTGCAGGGACAATGACTCCGCCACTTCCCTGGACAGCCTGTTCCAATGTTTGACTAATAGTGATTAAACTGTGTGTTTTGTGTGAGATCATTCAGAGAGAATATAAAGAAGAGAGAAGGATAAAGTCAGGTCACTGTAGATTCCCCATAGGCACCTACCAGTAGGAAAACAGGGAGAGCCTCCAAAGATTAAATTACTTGAAATGGCAAAATCATTGTAACAAAGACAAACCAATATATCCAAAATAGTAATGTCAAATGCAGCTAATGTGGAGAAGTGAGGACAGGAGGCCATTTCTGAGCACTGGTTACGAAGAAATCATGGGAGCTGTATGAGTAGTGTCAGCTAAGCTTAGAAGCAGAATTTGGAAGGTAAGGTCTTTAACAAAGTCGTAGGAAAGAAAATTCAGTTAAATTAGATGAGATTTTGATCAGAGCTGATGAGGTAGCTGGGATTGACCATATACATAGATGATTTCATAAGGAAATGAAACCTCACGTGAACATATTCACCTTTTTCCCCAATGTTTGTAATTTCTTGAATCACTTCAGCCACAGATGTCAAGGATAGCAACCTGAGATTTATGTCTATGAATGTTACGAATGTAGACAACAGAAACCCTAATAGCATCTGTGTTAAAAACATTAGAACCCACAGTATCCTTATAAGAGATGTGTTATTAATGTCCTAACAACTGAAAAAGCTTTGTTAATTACACCATTTTTATGTGTCAGATAACAAAATCTGAGACAAAAAACCCAGCAGTTCCACTGCTGGAGGATGACAGAAATTAAAGGGACTTAATATATTGAAGACAAATTTATGAAGGGAAAAAGAGTGAACATGAAGAAGATTAAGATTTTTGATGGTTCACTAAAGAAAGTGAAAGGACACAGAAAAAATATGAGGTCAGAACAAAACATGGGAGAAAGCTGTAGGGGAAAGACATGAAGCATGGCAGTGATATTCACTTTCTAGTGCTTGTCTGCATGGAGAATGAGAGCTGTTTTAATCAGTTACTGTGTTGCTTCAAATGCTGAAGAAGCTGTAAAGTTTCCAGTCATGCCGATGAACAACGTAAATATCAGTGTGATACTTATGACAGAATTTGTTCTGTTTTTATGTTAAAGCTGGGCACATGAACACTGTTCAGAGAACATCAAAAATTTGCAAAGTGAAGCTCTCAAAGGTAGGAAGCAAGACCGAATACTGTTTTTGTAAAGTCAAATTGTGTACTAGGGCATATAAAGAAAAATACAGGCTTTAGGTATCTATTTCCTACTTAGCAGTCAGCCAACTTATGGTATTCCTTTACTTTTTGGTGTGACCTTTATCATGGTATTTTGACATTGCATTTCACATATAATATATAAATTTTGATAATGAGACACTTCTTGATTTATCATTGTTGTTGTTGGTAACCATTACTTTATTTATTAGAAGTTTACCACGTGCCTTGTTATCTTCTCAGTACATTATGTTCTCATTAAAAAGAAATACAGCAAATTTCTTAGGTAGTGGGTTACATTTCATATTAAACGTTCTATTAAATTCCCACTATGCTTCTTCCCTCATGAGGGGTTGAAAATTATTCTATGACAGGTACATTCAATTACATATTCTGTAGGAAAAAGCACAGTTCTACAGTTGACTACCTCCAGGTTATTATAAGTGAAATTCAAGATTATCTTTAGGAAACAGCCTCATTTTTCTTCTTCTAATGTGTAGAACAAATGCCAGGTAAATCCGCACATGAATTCCTTCTTGAAATCAGCATGAGAGCAAAAAGAGGAACTTCTCTCTAAAAGAAAATTCCTAATCCTGAAAAAAACTTTATTGTATTTTCAAATTTTGAACAGATACAGAAGTAGTTGTTTTTTCACTGGCAGAAATCTGAGAAGGTAACACTGTTCACTAGACTTCTCACAGGTTAGATTCTCAGAAACAACTCCCCTGGGGTAAAGAAGACTGAATGACACAAACTCAGGCAGGTACTGGCTTAATTTTAGAGATCTATATTAGTTGCTGAATACGGTCTTATAAAGAGCAATGCAGATAAGTTAAATCAGTTATTTGCTAAGAATCACCTTCTCCCTCTTTGGAGAGTTTAAAGAGATGATACTCCTACATGAATTCAACTGTGAATTCCTTCACAACTTCAAATGATTGAGCAATGGTGGGGGGGTGTTTGAGGAACTGTGTTTGACTGATATGTTTTCATTAATGTCATTCACTATTAACTGGCAGAGAGGATTTTTTAGAAATTCTGGAAGTATGCGGTAAGGGGAAGGACCTGAAAGAAGAGTATATGGAGGTATAGCAGAGTAGTTGCTTATTCTGCTGGGCTGAACTTATGAAGAAAACAAAACGATGCAATGAGTTCAAACTGTGACAATTATTTCGGTCTACTTATTTTTCACCTTCAGATGGTCAGGAGAACTACCATCACATTACATTCTGCTTATCTGTGCTGTTTTTTCAGAAAAAATCACAGGCACTCTGTTTCAATACCTTTAAAAACTGAGACAGAAAAGACAGTGAAGAAAAAACAGGTCAAATACTTGTTCCTTGAAGAATTTCAGATATTAAGGAAAACAAATTATATCAAAGAGTCTTGCTGTCCTTCTAGCACAGCTTTTGTTGTTTGTCAAACTTATTTATCAATTAGTATGCGTGAAACAAAATAAAAAACCAATATTGATCAGTATTTGCCTACTTAGCTCTCAACAGGTCTTGATCTTTTAGTGCTGAGCCTTGCAGATAGATGACTCTTTGGGACCACATTGGGATTTGTAACACCCTTCGGACCTGAGCATCCACCTCAGTAGGACACAAAATAACAACATAATAGTCCTGTGAAAAACATAAGCGGGAAGAGTCATGTCATTTTTTTTATGTTACCATTTATTGTTGCTAGAGAATGAGTTGACAGAGACTCTGGATGTCAAAAATGTCTCTGATAATTCTCAAATTTACTTGACAAAAATTATCTGAATACATGTGTTTAAAATACTGAATTCTTTAATAAAAATGGCTGGACAGTTGTCAGCTGCTCAAAAAAGACTTTGTGGCAGTTAAAGTCCATTTAGAAACATTTTTGTTTCCATGTGATTTTTTTTTTTTTTTTGAGACAATTTACATTTCTGTCATTCTATCTGGAAAATGTAGGAAGTTTTCAACAATCCAAATGGAATTGTCTTCCCCACAATTTTTTTCCTCTACATTAATGGGCAGATCCAAACTCTGTTTCCTGTGCTACAGACAGTCCTGGTTAGGAAAAGTAAGGTTGCTCTGAAGTATACATGTGTGTATCTATGAGAAGGAGAGATAAAAGGAGACTGAGAAGTTAGGACAGGCTTGTCACAGAAGCCTTCCTTAGCACACACAGACCTTCCCAGAAAGCTTAGTGCACTGGATCCAGTACATCATCTGTATCCTTCAGCTTCCCATTTCAACTGTGAAGGGAATGTATATAAGCTCTTTTAGGCTACATAAGTCCTCTTCTTTGTCTCCAGTGTATCACAGAGACTGAGTCATTCTTCAGGCTAGTTAACTAAATTTAGATTTGAATGTGTGTTTGCATCTATAAAGAACTGGATTTCTTTGTGCATTTGCTTATGCCTCTTACTAGCTAATTATTTTGGAGCATGTTTTGGATTTGGGACTTGTCAAATTGTTGCTCAGCAATTTGAGGATTGTATTTTTGTGATTTTTTGCACTAGTTAATGAAGCATAGTAAACAGGTAACTTAGTAAAAGACACAGAGAAGATTTAGTAAAAGAAATGGTCTGTAGCAAAGCTAATGATAATGAATCCAAATTGCTATCTCTTGTAAATAAGAATTTATATGATCAAAACAAGTCATTATCTAGGGAATATGTGTACACTAAGAAAATTTCCTGTGTACTCTTTCAAAGTCTTTGTCCCTTAAAGTACGTCTATTTGTTCCTTAATTTCAACAATTCCAAAACATTAGCAAAAAACAAAGCAAAGTGCGAAAATCAAAAGATGCTTTGACTTGTGAGGAGTTTTGAATCCAGTCCCAAAACAATAGCAAAAAATAATTTGAGCGGTTTTCATTTATTTTCTATTTTGGGGCAGAATATAAGGAATTTGCATGCTGTTTCTAAAAGGACAGGTATAATTCAACAAGACAGTAATTCTACCTATTTAGTCTATTTACTTCAGTTTAAAATGACATACTGTATCTCAGCTTCTCATTGCAACTACAGATTCCCAATTCAGTCAGCTATTCCCAAATTCACTTTTACAAATTAAAGACCATTTCAGAAGGCTGTCTGCGAAAAAAATCAGTGTTTTGAGGTTTTTTCTTTTTTCCACTGTAAGTACCTGCAATCTGGGATGAGCATAGAATTCATTTAAGAAATCCATAAGTAAGTCAATCTTCAGAGAGCTAACACACAGCACAACATGTTTTTCAGTCTGAGCTCTGTGTCGACTGTAGTTACCACCAGACTTTTGCCTCTCCATCCACAAATATGCCAGCTGTTCAAACTGCAAGAGATGCCAATTATCAGTGAAATATAGACAAGCAGATGTGCAGTACAACTCTATCATGACTTAACAGTGTTGCACCATTCATCTCATGCCTCTATGAAAAGCTGCCCTTAGCTCACAATGTCTTTTTCTTTGTATAAAGTTCTCTAGTAAATGGGTGAGATGAATAATAGGGTGCTTGAAAGTCATGGCAGTAAAGCCAGTCTCTACCACACACAAATAGCAGGGTAAATCCATTAAAATATGAGATCATAATAAATCTCAAGATTTTAGAAAAGAATCACAGGAACCTTATTTCCTTTATGTAACTTATGCTTCTCGGCTCTCTTTTTTTGGTGCCATGTGACATAAACGCTTCCCTCAAACAAAAGGTTAAACTTTTGCACCCTTAAGTGTATACTGTGAGTATAGACACAGAGATAGAAGTACCATTTTATTTAGTTTGGGCAATAACTCTTCTCAGAGATTTTATAATGTTCTGAAGGTGACTTTCTGTATACTCTCTTATCTGTCTTGTAAATTTAGACACAACTTAAATACACAGCAGCTGTTAATACAGAAAATTCGCCTTTCCTAGCTGACCAATATATGCAGGCTAACAGTAAACGTTGCTATACTGGACTGAATCCTTTAGACTAAAGAGATTACTGTAACAATCAGTGCCACTGTAACAATCTGTAATAAAACATACAAACACCATTTCAAAGCTTCTTGTAATATGCATTTAAAGTTGAGCTCAATTTAACTATATACCTGTGTGACAGCTGCTTTTTTTCATCCACGTTCAACTAGTGGAGAGACTGAATCACGAATAATAATTTATTTCATATCATAGCAGAACAAAAATTCAGGAGAGAATGTCTTACACATGCTGTGTATGGAAAACTATATGAAGCCCCATTATCAGTACAAAGCTATGGAAAAAGGTAGCTAATAATAGGTACATTTATATGAAAGGGCAACAGATTACAGGTTATTTAATGCTAATGCAGAGGTCTTATGCCTGAAGTGTATATCAGAACTACCTGAAAGATGAAATTTCTATTTCGTACGAAATTCCAAATTTCTTAAACAAAGTATACTTTAATTTTCAATAGAATATATATTTTACTAAACTTCCACTGAGTGGGAATATAATTGGGTTAGTGCATATGTCTGTGTATGCAGACATTAAACATTTAGATATAACTAAAAAGTTCAAATAATTTAAAGAAAATTAATGCTGAAAACTTGAGGTTCCAACCTCCCAGTGTTTCTGGTTGTCTGCTCACAGTGAGCTTTAGTTCACTGTCAAAGAAGCAACTATGGCTGTGTGAGAAACACTGGCACTTCATCGTCTAGCAGGTCTACTATGAGCTTTGATGAGCATGCACAATGTCTCCCCACATCCCCTTTTTGTGGCACGAGGTCTGGATGATCACCAGCTGCGGAATAGTTAACAACTTGGCACGGCTTCCCATGTAATCTCAGGGTTTCTGTCATCGAGCCTCACCTAATGAGCTGGGAAATGTTTGGTACAAATTTAATGAAACTGATTGACTCCATGAAATACTTGGATTTTCATAAATCAGCCTTTTCCTGTTGAAACTGTTAGAAGTCCTAAACTTAAGTAGGCATCAAGAATTCCTAACTGTGCTGCTGGCTCTGTGTGTGTGTGTGTACCAACATACACATCTGTGAACCCTATTTGCTTGAGTTGCAGATTTAATGTGATTTTTTTCAAGTTAGCACTGAGCTGTAAGAGTAAGAGAGGAAGTGGAGAGAACCAAGATTAGAAACAGGGAGAGCCTGCAGAGGAAATGCTATACTCATAAAGAAAGTGCTGGCTACTTTTTCTTTTTTTTTTTTTTTTTTTTAACTGCTCCATTAATAACAAAACCATATCTCAGGATGAAGGAAGGGCTCTGTGGTACACGACAGGAACAGAAATCTTTCACCAGCACTTGAAAATTGTTATTAGGGCTCTGGTTTTTAGTATAAATCTAGACTATAGGAGAACAGACAAAGGAAAAATGAAGGAAAAAACCCCAGAATAGGAGGTATAGAAGGTGGTTATTTCTTCTGACATTTTATATGCAACAATAATATCGACAATAAATTATTTCAGTCATTATTATTTTGTTTTTAAAACAATTCTAAAGAGAAGAAAAATCCACATTTACCTGTATGGGCAACACCACAAGTGCAACACAGATCATAATGACAACAAGCAGCTTTGAAGGCCATATCTTGGGTGTAACATCCCCAAAGCCCACAGTGGAAAATGTCACTATGCAGAAATAAAGGGAGTCAAAGAGAGTCAACCTGTTTCCTGCTCGTTCCAGATGCTGAATTCCACAAATACTATGTAGAAAAGAATGAATAAAGACACGAAAAATAAAAACTGTACTTAGGGTCAGTTCAAGTTTGATGACTATATGTGCAGTTAACTATTTTCAGAATTCATAAATTGCTTAGCAAAGACATTTTTTCAAAGAAGAGTAAAAATTGTATCAAACCAGAAGTGTGTTTTTAAAATGTCATTTGGAATAAACTCATTTTTTGATTATTTGAATATGATAGTCACAACTTTGTTGCTAGGTTTTGCTTAGTGGCTGTTGTGAGGGAGAGGTGGTATATAGAACATCATGGATTGATGCAATTCCTTTCTAAACCAGAACAACACAGATGGTATATAGTTGCCACCATTCAGAATTTTTTGTAAACACCTTTTAACTTTTTCAGGGAGAGTTTGCTGGTATGGCCAAGAAAATGTACATACTGCTTTCTTTAAATCTATCACTCTTTATGTTGGTGTTTATCCCTTTCTGTGGCAAGAGTTATTAGCATGAACTAGTTATGAGAGTACGTGTTGCATACAAGAAGGATAATGTTTGTAGAAATGGGTACTGACTGTCTAGAATAAATTGAATGTGAGAATTGCAGGCTATCGAGTTGTCAGTGGAATAAGTGTCCAGGGTCAGCCTGCAGGTAGAAAGTGGAAGATGCCAACTGGTATGAAGATTCTGCTTGCTAAAAGTACAGAATAGAAATATAAGGCTTGGTTGTCTTTAATAGAAGAACAAATGAAGTTCATTCCTTTCAGTCACATCCTATGAATGAGTAAATGGTAGCCCAAGTTAATTTCTCTTGTAATCAGCATGATGTGGTTTTGGTTTTGAGAAGCTATAGCAGGATCTGTCCACAGGTCTTACTGCTATTTCATATGGTGCAGATTTTAAAAATATTTCACTTTGAAAAAATATACCATGATAATGAGCTTCTCAAGCTGCAAATATGATCCTCCCTAATACAGTAGAATTACTTACATCAGTTCAGGCTTTTAAATTGTATTCACATATGTGAAGAAAATCAATGTGTGAACCACTGAACAATGTTTTTTCCCCCTAGAGTTAGCAGAATGATTTCTCCTCAGGCAATTAGAGATAATTGATAAATAATTATTATTAAAGTATTCCTTAATAATTATTCTAGAACATACCAAAGACAATTTCTTCATATATGGTATCCAGATGGTAATAGTTACTCATTAATATGTGCCATGGTAAGATCTTTGCATCACCAGGGAGACCCTGTGTTTATAACAGCTTTAGCAGTTGTTCTTCTGTTCTCTGTTCTGTTCTCCAAAAATAATTTAGCTGTGGGCAGTGGCATTTCCAGAACATATGGATCAAATTCCCAGTTTCCTTTTCACAGTTCTAGCATTTGTAGTTTTCACACATCTCAAAATGTTCTAAAAAGGGTGGGGTTTTTTCCCTGTTGTTTGCATAAGTTTCGTACTTCAGTGAGAACTGATACTTTTATATTCCTATCCAATTTGTCCCACATTTTCCACTGGAGTTGTAATCTAGATCTTCCATAATTTCACTATGTTCCTAGTTCTTTTTTTTTTTAGTCTATTTTTTTTTTTGACAAAAAAGGATAATTATATTTTTGTCCCTGAAAATATTAACAGGACTGTAAGGAATTATGCTAATGAAAGGGTTTCTTTTGGTCTCAGCCAGGAAGTTTTTCAACTAAATCCTTTTCCAGTGTTAACTGAAAATAATGGAGTATACTGCAGAGGCATCCAAGTATGGAAAAAGAAGAATTATTCACATGTTTTATGTAATTTTGAAAGCAGAATGGTGACGGATTCATTCATAATAATAATTCTTCATTGTTATTATTCCTGACCATCTTGGTGCATTTTCTTCTATTTAGTTGTCTTCTGTAGGTATATCTCTAAAACACATAACCTTGACTTCAGGAATTATGGTCACAAGGGCCAGGATAGCAGTAATTACACTGAGCTGGGCTCCCATATAACAGGACTATAACACCACTCCACTAAGTATGTTAAATATCTGCAGATGGGTTTGTATTGAAGCATAATGCATGATCCTATCATTGGTAGAAATGTGTTTTTTTTCTGATGATGGTGCCTGTGAAATTGCTTGGTGTTTATATATGCAAAAGGGTCAATTTTGCCCTTCGCATCTGACAGGATGGATTAAAATGTAAAAATTTAATACTCTAGTGGTTTTTTATATTTTCAAGGAATGAGAATTGTTTATTCACTTTTTGTTCTTTTTGTAAAACCATAAAAAAATTTTTTTTAAGCTTGCTGGTAGGAAAACTCAATTATTCATGAAGGAGATATCATCTTCATTATTATTACACTTCATAAGCTTTCCATAGCCAGCCCACCCAATCCTATTGTATAAGTTAATATGTCATGAACCATTTCAGCCTTTTCTAAGTGAACTGTAAAATTCCCATCGAATTTAGTGAGACCAAGATTTCATTTTATCAGCTATACTCCTTTATAGTCCTATATTTTCCTATTCCTTGAAGCCATCAATATAATTTTGTGCCTGATCCAAAATGTTGTGGATTCAAGCTGTTTCTCATTGAACTCAGTGGGCATGAGCCAAAGCTTCTCACATTTAGTTATCAATATTAAAGTCAGTAAAGCATAGGAGCTATTTCTTCTTTGCTGAAGCAAAAATTCAGCTCTTGTAACAACTTGTTGAACAAATTAATTTCTTTCCTCAAAATTACTTGCATCTCATTTGCAGTTCTACAAATTGTACTTGAAGCCCTAACCCTGAAAACAAAAGAATTGTAAATCCAAAATTAGGTTACCAAGTCTTAATTTTGCTGGGTGTTTTGCTGCTCTAGCTTTTAATTTTACTAAAGCCAGAGATCACAAAACTGCAGAAAAACCTGACTTCCAAGAGAAAACTTTATTGGAGTCTAATTACCAAATTAAATATTGCCTCTTTTACTCCTCCCCCAAGAATATGATACTTTAATCTCACCACCAGCACCTCTAAAGAAACATTACTCAGCATCTATAGCATATTCCTATCTATACTGCATAGAGAGTGCAGTGGAAAGTTATTGGCTGTCCATGAAGCCAAGTGCACATGGATTAGTTATTTTATTCCCCACAACTTATTGACATCTTTTAATATAACCTAATTCTTTATAGTAATAGTAGTATCAACTTCTTTTTTTCTTGTAAATTCAGTGTTAAGCATTATTTTTAAAAGATGCATGAACACTGCATGTACCAATACGGACAGTCTATGTTCTCGTCTGCTTTCTCATATTTCCTGACATAATGAAATATGTAGTAACTTAGACAACATCTTTTTGGCTGTTTCGATATTTTATGGTGGTATTTTTATCTCCTTGTTCTTGTTTGCTTCCTCTTCCTCTTTCATCCCATGAAGAAACAATAATTTCCTTGTTGATCCCTGGACAAACATAACGATTACAAGCAGGAAAGGAATGTTCAGCAAAGGCAATGCTCACTCTTTCTTGTGGAGAAAACAAACCACTGTAATAATAAATATGCAGAAAATGCCTAATTAAAATACAGGGCCAAATTCAGCACCTTCTATACCAATTTTAGGTTTCCTGTAAAATCAGCAAGGCTCTATTTTCATAGCGGCTCTAAGTGACCAGTTACAACAAAACAAAATTGGTTCAATGGGGAGCAGATTTAGTATTATTAAAAAACCCCACAGAAACTCAAACCATGGGTCTGCCAAAGCAAAAGTAGTATCAGAAAATTTATTACAAACTTATGGAGAACAGAAGCGTGACTTTAAATGCTCTATTACCACTGCACTTGAAAAACAAATAGTAAAGATAGTAACATGTAATCTCCAAAGATTAGTTATGTTTAGTTTAGGTATCATTTGAACTTTTGAGTGTTCAGTCACCATTTTACTGGAAGCTTTCTTTCCAATTCCAGGAATCTTTGTTTGTTTGAGTATTTTATGTGCCAAAACTAACTACTGTTTGTAAATAACCTTTCTCCACATGCAGTACAGAAATAAATACTGTACAGTAAAATAGCCTCTGAGATTAAGACAGATTTTTGCCATACTGCAGTCTATGCAAGCATGTCACAGAAATGGACATAACATGAAATATTTGCAAGTATTGTATACTAACTATTTGTATTTATAATGAATTATTTACAGTCTATTTTATATCAGTTTGTATTCTCATTTGTCAGTGTGGCCAAATATGTCTGATTTCTACATTTTTATTTTTGTTTTTAGAGAAAATTGTTTTTTACAGGTACTACTTCTTGAATTCTAAAAATAACACACCAGATGCTGAAGGCAAATGTTAGAGATGCTTAGGTGTTTTCAGGATTAGGTAGCAACTAACAGCATTGTTCCCTTTGGAGCTTAACTCTGAGCTTCAACTTGTGCAATTACTTTGTTGTGTTTTAAGTAGCTAGCTACAGGGACTAGCTAATGAATATGTAGAAATCAATGGGGATTAATTTAATTGAGTTCAGTGAGATTCTGTGGTACAGGCTCAGTACTTATATATTATAGAAGTTACATCTCAAATAACGCAGAAATATATTAATACTGCATATTATGTAAGTGTTCCCGGTAGTTTCTCGCACCCAAAACTCTTCAAAGTTTCCACTTATCCTACGCCAGAATGGTGATGCTAGAACAAACTACAAATTAAATTACGAGGATGATCAGGGGGCTGGAGCACCTCCCCTGTGAGGACAGGCTGAGAGAGTTGGGGTTGTTCAGCCTGGAAAAGAGAAGGCTCCAGGGAGACCTTCTAGCAGCCTTCCAGTACCTGAAGGGGGCTACAGGAATTGGGGGGGGAGGAACTTTACCAGGGAGTGTGAGGGTGGTGAGGCACTGGCACAGGTTTTCCAGAGAAGCTGTGGCTGCCCCTCCCTGGCAGTGTTCAAGGCCAGGTTGGATGAGGCTTTGAGCAACGTGATCTGGTGGAAGGTGTCCCTGCCCATGGCAGCATTTGGAACTAGATGATCTTTCAGGTCCTTTCCAACCCAAACCGTTCCATGATTC